AGACCACTCACTCTTTATCCTGTCCAGGATGAGGAACTAAGCTTTAGAATCTGCCATACAAACTGGATGGCTTCTTGTTTAAAATAACTGTTCTTAATGTGAGAATGGCCCTGGTGCTTTGGAACAGACTTTGCCTCATTTTTTGGGGTAGTGCAAACACTAAGGGTTCAATAGGAAGCAAAGAGAGGACAAGGGACAGCAGAAGCAAGGTGACACTGAGGAACAGCGAGAGCCCCCAGATCAGTGCTGCATGCCTCTGAACAGGTTCATAAACCTCTTCTAACAGGGGAAAAATTTTTATCTGCCACAGGGTGAGGATGGGGATGACACCTGCCATTCCTGTCCTGTGCACAGCGCGGCCCAGTTACCAGGGTGACAAACTGCTGGGGGCTGTGAGCAGCTGTGGAAGCAGCCCATCTCCTGCTCCTCTCCTTTCCCCCACTCCCACAGAAGGCTAAAGAAAAAAAGGGACAAAGTCCCTTTAAAGAACTATATGCCAAGCCTCTGCCGTCCTGTTTTATCTGAAGTCCAACCGCATGTTGTTCCAGGGCCGATCCGCTTTAGCTAATTAATAATCTGACAGGAGCCACCCAAGGGATTAGCTGCTGAGACGAGCTAGACCAAACCCCCAGCAAATGAGCCCCATGCTCCCTGGGGACTGAGAGGTGACTTTGGGGGGCAGGCGGTTGCACCACATGTAGAAGGGTGTCAGAGCCCTGAAGGGGATTTATGGCATCTGGGAGGGTGAAGGAGGAGGTGAGGGGTTACAATTTATGAGATATAAACTAATAAATCAGTTAGTTGAAGAGGGGAAAGAGGGAAGCACCAAATTAAAAGATAACGTCTTAAAGGAGCAGTGTAAATTGATGGTGCTCCTTGTGGCAGGGGCACCAGGAGAGCTCCCAGTGCTGACCAGTTGTAGCTCCCTCTGCACTGGGAGAGAGGAGGAGAGAGACTGCCAAGCAGAAGAAAAAGGGTGTTGATGGGGACTGAGAGGAAGGGTGATGCATCTTTTTGCAGTTTATGCAAACAGTTGATGGTTTGGCTTTTGTGGCAGAGGGCACCTCTTTTGAACTCAGAACAGGGGCTGTGGTGCCCCTGGCCTGGGAGAGGTAAATGGGTAAGGGGGACTTGGTTAGGATTAGTCGTCCCAATTCAATTCCCCATTTCAGTGGGGGAGCACTTCTTAAGTGGGATTAGTGGAGAGGGTCAGCTTGGAGCAAGGCAGAATTACTATCAGGAAAGCCGTCTCAAGAGAGTGTGATACATTTTTTTTCTCCAAATTTGCCTCTTCACTAAGTCTCCAGGTGATTGTGAGGTTTGAAGTTTGCTCCTGTGGAAAATACTTGGTTTTGTTCTGGAGCCTTGTAGATGTCTGGAACTTCCTGGTGGTGAATGTCCGATTCTCTTCTGATTTCAGGAGCTGTTGTTCCTGCTGGGCAGGGCAGGGGCCTTGGGCACAGGTTTTCCTCTTCCACTGCCCAGTCCCAAAGCCAGTTTGCCTTTCCATACCAGTCTCTTTGGGTGCCTTGAGACCTCTCCAGGCCCACAGCTCTTTCTGAGAGTGTGCCCGGGCCTCAGCTCTCTCCAGGGGCTGCCGTAATGCAAATGGTAATGCAAGATGGGATTTCCAAAAGCCGTCTTAGGGGGATTTGTAATCCCTGCCCCATGACGATGCTAGACACAAGCTAATGGAGAGGGGCCTGTGTGAGCCCTCTCTGCAGAGCCACAGCAAACCTCTGGGTCCTTGCCAAAGGCCAAGCTTTTGGCATGGCTCCTTGCAAGGGCAGGAGGCTGTTTCCTCCATGGCCCAGGGCAGCGCAGCCCGGGGAGCGAGGCAGGGGCTGTCCAGGAGCCAGGTGAGCTCCTGCTGCCCCACCCCGTGGCCTGGAGCCAGCCTGGGCCCGCATCCGGTGCCACATGAGCCACAGGCAGCCCTGAGGTGGTCGCTGTGAGCACCCCTTGGCTGAAGAGGTGTTGGCATCGTGTGGGTGTTGCCCTGGGGGCAGCGCAGCGCAGAGCCTGCGGATTGCTCTTCCAGTGGGGCAACTGCATTAAGCCAACAAAACTCATCTGACTGCTTTGACATATTTCCATCTCGAGAGCTGTCTTGCAGCTTGCAGGGTCCCCCACGCACACATGTTGAGCTCAGGTGGCTTCAAAAGGCAGAGAGAGGAGAGGGAGTAGTCCTGTGCCGTGCTGGAGCTGAACTGTGACCGTGAGACACCTTTCTGGGGGGAGAATTGCTCGGGCCTGGGCTGCCAGAGTGGTGTGGAAATCTGGAAATCCAGCACGGCACCATCCCATCCCATTCCTCATCCATGGTGGGAGCGTGTGGGGAAGCTCTCCTGGAGGCTGGGCTGGCAGTGACAGCCCTGCAGCTCTCATGTGCACAGCGTGGTTTGGCCTCCCTCCTGCAGAGCTGCCAGTAGCCCACACTGCTCCTGACCAACATCATTAGTGCGGGTATTTATATTTCATTAACAACATTAAACCAAAATGGCATTAAAAGCAACACCAGTGATAAATAGCTTATTAATAAACAGGGAATGGGCTGTACCACGCACAAATTCAATCCCTTCCTAAATATGTCTCTACCACTAAAACCAGCCTTTTAACTCCTGCTAATCTGGAGAAATTTGATGGATGTTTTGGGGGTGGATGGTACTCAGATGAAGGCAGGCAGTGGGGGCACACAGTGTGATATAGTTTGGTTTTTCCTAAGGCAGCTGACTAGGGTGGGAAGATGTAGATATCTCAAAGTGCTGTTGCATTTCCATTGTTGTGTGGGACTCTCTCAGTTGTGTTCCTAATATAATTTTGATTGTGTTAAAACAGCAGTAGTATAGAAAGCATGAAACAAAAAAAAAAAGAGAGACTGAAGATTCAAGTGAATGTCTGCCTTTGATTTTAGTGCCCTCCCCTCTGTTTCCCCTGCACTCTTTCACACACCTTTGCTGACTTGGGCAGGACCATCCACAACAGACACCAGCACAAAATCTCTTTCTTGCTCCAGACCCAGTCTCTTCCAGTGACGTCTGAGGACAGCTAGCACTGTCCTTATTCCCCACTATGTGTTTATTCTAGGGATTAAGAATGTTAAAAATGTGGCGTTTCTTGTAAGCTTGTCAATCAGCTTATAATTTTTATTTTCTGGTTTTGTTTGTCCCCAACTCCCTATTCTGTGAAATTGCTTCCTATGCTTCTGTCCTACCCTAAGTACAAAGGCTCTTTTGTTGCTCTTCCTGCTCCCTCTTTCCACAGTAAATTAATTAAATCAGAAACTTGGGTGAATCTGGAGTTGAAAGCCCTCCTCAAACCACCTGCAGGTTTCTCAGCGAGGTTTCCCTCTCCATGCAGCTCCTGGGCACTTTTCCAGTGGGGAGGACCAAGTGTAGGGCTTTGCCTTGCTGAACCATACTCCTAGCATGCAGCACAAGCTGCTGCCTCCTTTGCATCCTGGGTCCAGTTCTGGGCCCTCAGTTTAGGAAGGACATTGAGATTCTTGGGCATGTCCAGAGGAGTGCAACAAGGCTGGTGAAGGGCCTGGAACACAAGCCCTGTGAGGGACAATTGAGGGAGCCAGGGGGTGTTTAGCCTGGAGAAAAGGAGATTCAGAGGTGACCTTATCACTCTCTACAGCTTCCTGAAAGGTGGCTGTGCTCAGCTGGGGTTGTCTCTTTTTCCAGGCAGCAACTGACAGAACAAGAGGACAGTCTTAAGGGTTTCCCTTAACCTGTGCCAAGGGAAATTTTGGTTGGGTGTTAGGAAAAAGAAAGAGTGATAAAGTACTGGAATCATCTGCCCGGGGAGATGGTGGAGTCACCATCCCTGGATGTGGCAGCTTGGTGCCATAGTTTAGCTGAGATGTTGGGGCATGGGTTGGACTCGGTGATCTTAAAGGTCTCTTCCAACCCAAGGATTCAGTGATCCAGACAAACTCCCCTGGTCCCAGGACATTTGGGCCCCCCCACTGTCCTAGATGCATGTGCACCCTCCATGCCAGGCACGTTATCTCCAGAGGCAGCAGGGCAGCACCAGGTCCTGGGCACGCTCCTGTACCGTGCTGCCTGCCCAGGCATGCTGTGCTGGGCAGCTCTTGGCTTAGTCATGCTCATCTCTGATACTCTGCCTGGATGTTCCTCAAAGGCTGCAGTGTTTGCAGGTTTTAGACAGTAACTTTGTGATCTCCCCGGTTTGGACTGATGTACTGACCTCTCAGCTTGCATCCTGCAAGGGCTTTTCATGGAGAACGAGCCTTCTTCCCCAGCCTGATCATGTCCAAGTTGACATCAAATGTAATTTTCTGCACTGCTATTCTAAGGACAGTGGTAGTCCTGAATGTAGGATTTGAGGTGCAGCTGGCATCTTTCTGCTTCCTCCTGTCCTCATCCTTAGGTTGTTCAGACACAGGCCAGGCACAGGGTGGATGGGGAGCACAAACAGATTGCAGAGCTGGCTGGAGTCCCCTCCCTGACCTGTGTCTTCCATATGATGGAGAGCAACCAGAACACGAGACAGGGTGTCTTATCATTTGTTTGCCTGCCAGCATGGGCAGGATCATGGGTCACATGTCTCCTGGTTAGCTGAACTGTGCAGTGTGTGCCCTGGAAGAGGCGTGTAAGAGAGGAAGCTCATCAGAACCTGCCTGTTCCCACTCAGCTGATTGTCGCAGGGTCTGTCCCTTAACTGACATGAGCACTAGGATAATCGGATATTCAGAGCAGGGAGGGGAGGGGAAGAGAAGGGAAAAAAACCAGGCATCAAGATAATCATGATTTCCCCAGAGCCATGGAGGGAACTCAAAGGCTGATATCCAGCAGCATCTCTTCATCTCGCTCTTACCACAGCATCGAGGATAAATAAAAAGCAGCTGATGCTGCTGCTTACCTTCTGTGGTCCCAGCCCCAGTCCTGGAGCATCCCTTCCTGCAGGGAATTTGGCAGAGTAGGGTCAGGGTCAGGAGGGAGAATTGGTTGTGCTGAAACCCTTTTTTCTAGGGGCTTGGAAGGACTCAGAGACTGGGAGATGTGGCATTGGAGTTGGCCGTAGCACTGGATGAACATCTTGACTGTGGATGGACAAAGAACACAGAGAGAGCACAGGAACCTGGGATCTGCTTAACTGTAGGCAATAGAGATTCCTACAGCCAGCAGAAACAGGAGTGGATCAGACAGAAATGCCCTGCAAGGGGAAGGTTTCTGAGCTTTTGAGCTTTTCACCCTGAAGCCATTCCTGGAATATCCCTGAGGAAACACTATTAAACTGTCCTGTCCACTAGAACACCACCCCTGCCCAGTGACAGTGCCAGTGAGGATGGTGTCAAGGCTGCTTAGGACTGAAAGTGACAAAAGTGGCCTCTCCCTTAGTCCTTCTCTGTTCCTGTGCTTCCTTTTTGTTCCTTTGGAAGGATCTCTGTTACACATGAATTGCTGTCACCTGCCAGATCTTGGGCTTTCTCTCCCCTGAATAACCAAAGGATGTGAAGTCTTGAGCCCTGCTTTTCACTATGGAGAACAGCCCCTGTGTAAGGGATTCTTGGGTGGAAGGAAGCATAAACTTCCCCTGTCTGCTGAGGCATGTGTTTGATAGGAAATTGTTCCGTGCTCCTTGAGGACACTGTGCCACCTGGAAGGTGATTGTGGAAGCTGTCTCACGTCAGGTCTGTGTCTGAGGGCTAAGGGAGCCATGTCCTGTTTCGTACACTGACAGTATGAGAACAAGCAGAGCTGAAGTGGTGCTCTGTGTGCAAAGGATGGCCTCCCACAGGGCATGGAGCCATGCTGAGGGGGAAGATGGTCTGTACCAGCTCCCAAACTGCTGCTATTAGTGCCCACCCCAGCAATTGTGCAAACTCCACAAGCTGCGTGTTCCATTGCAGCTCTCTCTATGGAGCGTCTTCCCTTGGAAGGAATTTTAATCAAACTTGACTGAGGAGTGCTGAAAAACATGAGGAAGTAATTACAAATATGAATTTACAGCCTCCTGGAGTACCTCCCTCCTTCTCTCTCTTTGCATAACGCCTGTGTTTACCCTGTTTCCTACCGTTACCAGTCTCATTCCTCAAGCCCTCCTCCACTTCATTACCTCTGTCCAAGCCCCATGTGTCAGATTTGTGACCCTCAGTGCTGCCTCAGAGAGAAGAGCAAAGGTAGAGCCAGTTCTGGGAAAGATTGTGGCCCTCACTTTTTTCTGTGAGGCAATAATAAGCCAGCAGGAGGACAGTCCCAGGAGGAAGTTGCAGGTTCCCTGAAGGAAATTGGCTGGAACAGCCTCCCTGATTGTCTGTGATTTCCCAGCTAGATAGGCCCCAGGAGAGGGGGTAGGCTGGAATCAGCCTGGAAATCAGGATGGGCTGGATGCTTCCTCCATAAGGTGTTATTTTCTCATGTGTGCTGTTCTTGGGAGTCTTTCTTTTCTTTCTGTTTATTTCCATGCATGCAGCCATTATTCTGGGAAGGCTCTCAGCTTAGCTGCCTGCAGGATCCATCACCTGGGGGTGCTCACAGATTCCAGTGCCATTCACGGGTTGTGTGCTGGCATTGTTGGCCCTTGCTCCCTGATTCCGCTTTGTCCTTCCTTCATTGCACGTGGGCACAGAGTCTGTGTTGCCTGTATGGAATGGAGAGCTTTCACACCAGACACTGAGGACCTTCTGCAGAAGGGAGAGTGAGGAGAATTGTGTGGGTGAGACACCAAGCCCAGTCCAGTTGCCTTGGGCAAGGAATTAAGGGGTCAAGGTGTGAACTTTGTGTGGGGTAGCAGAAGAGCTAAGCCACTCAGTCATTTCTTCTCATCTTCACTTTGCTTTCCTCTTAAAGCAGTGGGAGAAATGGCTGGCAAGTTACTGGACACTTGGAATTCCACATGACTGTTCAGACAATTGCCAGCCTGTGTAGGGATTAGGAAGAAATGTGATTTTTTTGGGTGGAATTTAGAAGAAATGGGTAAATTTCTATGGAAGACCCTTTACTTCCAACCTGTAGCTTGCCTTTTTTTTTTTTTTTTTTTTGAGGGTTATGCCCTAGGAGTAATTTATTTTACTTGGCCCTAAGGGGGCCAGGGAACCAGCTGTCCCAATGCAAATAGGGGAGGGAATTCCCTGCCTTTTTGGCAGGCACTGGTGCAGGGTTGAACAGAAGGCTCTGGAACCCCTGGGCTTACTAGATGTGTGATTCAAATCTGAATTTGACTGGCTGGGACTCTCATCTTCTGGATAGTCAAAAGAAACCAACCCCAAATGCTTTTCCCAAATCTGCTATCAAAGAGGCTGCTACCATGGCCCTACATTGGGCTGTTTGGTGATGAAGGAGAGAAGGGGGAGTAACAGAAGTACTCCCTTGGGATCCCCTCTTACACTCTCATTTTCCTGTAACCACTTTCATTTTTTTGGCTAATTAAAGACTCTGAGCAGTTTTCAGCCTGTGGGGTTTCTTTTATTTGGTTCCTCAGCAATTAACTTTTTTACTGAACAAAGTTTTGATTGAGCTGGGGCCCATGTCTTGGTTTAAAATTTCTCCATAGCCCTGTGAATCCATGCCCTTTCCTATCCCATCCGTGGCTCAGTGCCACCTTCTCTTCCATCACTGCTAATTCTTCCCAATGCTGTCCCCTGCCTCTGTGCATGCTTCTCCACCTTCGCTCTCACCCAGCCCCTTGTTCTGCAGAGAAAAGGAGGACCCAGGAGCCTTTTTGCTCCATCTACAGAGGGCCAGGGACTCTGCTTCTTCCAAGTTGCAGAGGTTTCCCTGTGTTCAGAGGTTTTCCCATGACATAGTCCCAATGGGCTGGGAAGAACCTGACCTGCCAGACCAGCCTGTCTGCAAGCAGCTGTGCCTGTTCTGCTCTGGTGTCTCAGGGCTTTTGTGGGCTCAGTTCCCTCTTTGCCTGGCGCCCAAGCCCTTTATCCAGCCCATCTGTCCCTTTCCTCGCATGGAGAGGGGCCATGGCTCCTGGGTTCCCTTGGTGGTCTGTCCAGGTGGGAGGCTGCCCACGTGCCAGAATCAGCTGGCTCAGAGCTGACCTGCAGTGGGACCTTGCAGTGCCCCTGTGTTATCTGAGAGCCCGTGCTCTGCTCTCAGAGCTGGTGCCTGCCCTCGCCTGCCAGGGGTTCCAGTGAGGATGACCATGGTCATAAACCTGCACACTCAGCTGGAGGCACTGGCCTCCTGTCCTGAAGGGCTGATCTTTCTTACCTCGAGCTCTCTGCCAGCTGTCCTGGCACAGCTAAAAGCGCATTGTGTCCCTCGCTCTGCACCAGCTCCTCCCCACCATGCAGTGACAAGGTGGCCACTCAGCCTGGAAACTCTTTGCCAAGCTGTTCTGGGACCCTGGAGCCCCCTTAGCCCCTGTGAGGATAACAAGTGTTGGACATATTTGTTGTTTGGAGGATTAGTGGCTTTTGTTGTTGTTGTCTTCCCCGAGAGCCGTTTCCTTTGCTGTTGTGCGGTGCTGTAGGCAGCTGTCCCTTTCAAAAAGGAGTGTCAGCACCAAAGTGCCGCCCCCTCCTCGGGCTGGTTTCACCCTCGCTGGCCCCCCCAGCCCGTTCCCTGTGGTGAGTGTGCCCACGCCAGGCAGGCACGCACGAGCTTTGGCTTGCTGGGGGAGCGCACCT